ATAATATAAATTTTTCATGTAGCTTTATTTAAAATTACGTGCTGAGAAAGATCCAGGTAGTACATGGAATAGAAATGTTAAACCAACAGCTGGTGGTGTTGATCGATTTGTTACAAAAAAGGATATATCCGATGATATAGATTCAAGTGCTTCTGCTGTTGAAAAACAACAAGAAGCATCAGGTCCATATCATAGTGTTTTAGTTGAAGAACGTGTATGGACAACAAATTGGCTGAATCAGTATGTATTTATTATTAATATATATATAAATATTTATAGAAATTTTCTGTTCATTTTTATTAGACTTCTTGCTGATGATGCTCATTTAAATTTACGTGCTAATCCAATTGATTCACAGGATCCACAAGCACTTTATAAACGTTGTCAAGATGGTATTTTACTTTGGTATGTTAAATAAAAATTAAATGATGATTAAAAAGTTCTTTTATGTTGTTTTTTTTTCTCAAGTAAATTAATCAATATTGCTGTACCAAAAACAATAGATGAACGAGCCATTAATTTAAATTTTTCTAAACAAGATATATTTCGTCAAAGTGAAAATTTAGAACTTGGTAAAATGAAATATTTTTTTATTAATTTATATATTATTAATTATATGATTGTTTGTTTTTTCTTTTTAATTAGCTATTAATTCTGCTCGTGGTATCGGTTGTAAAGTAGTAAATATTCATTCAGAAAATATTTCCAAAGGTGTACCACATCTTGTCATGGGTCTTCTATGGCAAATAATTCGAGTAAAATAAAAAAACAATTTTTTTTCTGGATTATTATATAAAAATTATTTTTTTTTTTGACCTTTTGTTAATTAGATTCAATTAACAAGTGTAATCAACTTAAAACAAGTTCCTGGTCTTGTTCTTCTATTACGGGATGGTGAAACACCTGAAGATTTATTAAAATTATCACCAGAAGAATTATTACTTCGTTGGTTTAATTATCAACTTCAACGTTCACAATATAAAGGCAAACCAGTAACGAATTTTAGTGGTGATATAAAAGTATATTATTGTTTTCTTTTATTTTTTGATAAATTGTAAAATTTTCATTTTCTTATCAAAATTTAGGATTCTGAAGCATATACTTATTTACTCAATGTTATTGCACCGTCTAATACAAAACCACCATTAACACTTAAACCATTAAATGTAAGAAAGAAATAAGAATTTAAAAATAAAATAAATATTATTACTTTTATAATATATATAGGAAACTGATTTACGTCGTCGAGCTGAATTAATGTTACAAGAATCGGATAAGATAAAAGCACGAGCACATATTGCACCTGATGATGTTGTTAAAGGAAATCCAAGACTTAATTTTGCGTATGTTATTTAAGAAAAAAAAAACATTTTTGAATACAAAAGAATTCTTTTATAGTTTTGTAGCTAATTTATTTAATACATATCCAGCATTAGATCTTCCAACAGAAAAAGTACCGGAACCAGGCATTGTTATAGAAGAAACTCGCGAAGAAAAGACTTATAGAAATTTCATAAATAGTCTTGGTATTGAGCCACATGTTAATTATCTTTATTCAGATCTTTGTGATGGTTTAATAATACTTCAAGTAAGTTTTTGATATATTCGTTTATTGAATAAGACAAAAAAATGAATAAATGTAACATTATTATTTAGCTTTATGATATTATCCGTCCGAAAACAGTTGATTGGTCAAAAATCTATAAAACTTTTCATGGAATGAAAGAACGTTTTCAAAAATTAAGTAAGTATTTTATTTTGTTCAATAAACAAAAAATTTTCTTGAATCTTTTATATATATATATATATATATATATATAGATAATTGTAATTATGCTGTTGATTATGCAAAAGAACCACTTAATTTTAAAATCACTGGTATTGGTGGAGCAGATATTCTTGAAGGTAATAAAACATTAACACTCGGTCTTGTTTGGCAAATAATGAGAGCATATACATTATCAATTCTACAAAAATTAGCAAAATCAACTAAACCTATTGCTGATAAAGATATTATTAATTGGGCAAATGAAAAAGTAAAATGAATTTTTTTTTGTTTATTTAAAAATTTTCTTTATAAATATTTATTTTTACTTTTTTTTCAGTTAAAAAGTGCCAATAAAAAAACAGTTCTAACTAATTTTCATGATCAAGGATTAAGTGATTCAATGCTTATTTGTGATTTAATTGATGCTATTAAACCAGGTTCTATTCAATATCATTTACTTAAAACATCTGGAACACCAGAAGTATAAGATTTTTTTTTTCTTTTTATATGTGTATTCGTATTTTATTTATTTGTTTAGGTTAAAATGGATAATGCTTTATATGCTATTTCAATGGCAAGAAAAATTGGTGCACCTATTTATGCATTACCAGATGATATTGTTGAGACAAAACAAAAAATGCTTTTAACAGTTTTTGCTTGTCTTATGGCAAGTGATATGCTTGCACCAAAAAATTAAGTTTTTTTCTTTTTTTGTATCTTAAATGAACGTTTGTGTGTGTGTGTGTGTGTTTATTTCCATTAATTTTAACTACAATACTATTTATTGTTTTATGTATGTGTTTAGGGAAAAAGAAAACAGATTCCATTTTGTGAAATTTTTATTGATTACTTACAAGCTAGCTTTTTATTTTTTTAACTTCTTGAATTATTATCAGTAAAAAATGAAAATGTATAAGATAGAAAATTTGAATATGTCTTTGTCTTCTTTGTTTTTTTTTGTATCTAATGGCATGTGAATTTTTTCATAGAAATTTTAATGGAATTAAACATTATATCATAAATTATTGATTGATATCAGGAAAATAATAAATGATTAAATAGCTTAAATACGTAATTTTGATAATAAGAATGAACAAATGATTATTGTTGTCTGGCTGGGTTACCAGAAGGTCATCAATAATTGTCAAAAGTCCACAAGACCTGCACCAAATTATTAGTGAAAGTTCAGTGGGTGTCTACCAAATATTAACAAAGAGCGAGATTCTCGTCTGATGGAGTATAATATATATTTAATTACAACTTTGAATTGATGGACAAAATGTCAGCGGGACATAAGAAAATTCATTTGATTTGTATGAATTTATTGTTGTTTCTTTTTTTTTTTAATATTATAAGTTGACATGAGTTGATGAAAAGAAAAAAAAGAAACATTCAGGTCTTCGAGACATTATTCGTGATATTCAACGTTTAATTTTAAAAAAAAAAAACTTCATCGATAATATAGACTCTCCATCCATAATGACTATACTACTATTCATGGTTTTGTTCATAACACAAATGAAATTAGACTTACAAGACAAGTTCTCCAACTAATTAATTGATTTTGAATCGAAACAACTATGTGTGTTATTGAGATTCTAAGAAACAATAAATACTCGCAAAAAAAGTTCAGACATTTAGCTTATTTGTGCGGAGATATTGTATTATTACCATATTTTTGAAATCAATGTCATGATCATCCTCATTCATATCAGAAAAACTGATTTTAGAGTTTCGACTTGAAACTTAGCATAGAGACAAGTCTTAACAAGAATAGTTTATAGCAAAAGTTTCACACCTCTTAATTTGCTTCTATACAGAACTTCCAGTGTATGTGAGCGAAATCTCGTTAAGGTCTCTCTCTAGGGAAAATTCGAAAATTAGTCTTTCTGATGTTTCTGACGGAGATCACAGGATTCATTTAAAAGTACAGTATCCCTGCAGTAATAAACTAAGGGTATAAACTCTTTTCAGGATATTTATAGTTCATTTGGTTCTACATAATGTGCATATAGTCTTGACTCAAAAGCGATGTCCTATGATATGAATAAATACAAACAATAAACTTTGTTTAATAGATAAACTAAAACTTAATTATATTAATGCAAAAATAATATTTATGAAATTTTTTATTTATAATATTTTCCATTAGATGAATAGACATAATTTGCTAATGATTTTTTAGTTGGTATTTCATATACAACTCGACGATTAGTTTTTATTGATGGCATTTTTGATGTTAAAGTATAAGCAGGTTCAGAATCAACTTTTTTTTTAATCATAATATATTTTGGTGATGATTCACGTCTTGGTAATACTTCTGTTGAAACATTTCGATGTTTTGATAATTTAACATATTGTTTTGGGTATTGCTCATAATCATCATCATCATCATCATCATCAGAATCAAATAATATTTCATTTGGATGTTGTGGCATATAATATTTTTGTTGTTTTTTAGGTTTATCTTTTTTATAAATTGTTTCACGATCACCTGTTCGAGGATCAATAATAACTTTTTTAATAACTCTTGTTGGTTCATCATCAGCATAAACAACTTGAGTTTTTTTCGTTGGTGAAGTATTTTTTTTAAATGGACGTGAAATTAAATGACCAGAAGATGTTTCATAAAAAACTGATTGAGATACACGAGGACGAGATTTTAATCGTCCACGTTCAATAGGTAATGGAGAAGGTGTACGACTATTTCGTATTACTTTTATTATATCACCTTCATTAAGTATAATTTGATTACCATTTGTTTTTTTTCGCGTTCGTATTTTAGACTAAATAATAAACAAATATATAATTTCCAATACTTAAATTCTAAACACACACGCACATCACTTATTTGTCTTCGATAATCGAAATCATTTTCATCATTTGAAATGTATTTAATACGTTGTTCTTTACGTGGTTTTCTTGGAACTAATCGAGCATATATTTGTGAATCATCATCATCATCTTCATCATCATCATAATTAGCATCTTCATCATAATAATGCTGTCTTGATTTTTTTGGTTTTCGATTTCGTATAAGAATATATTCAGTATTTCGATCACTCATATTAAATAAAATTGAAAATAATGAATACAAATTTTATGTTGATGCTTATACAAATCAACAGGTGGTAGATAATTGAGTTTCTATGCAATACACTAATCATCGTGTGTAACAAACAAGATGTTTTAAAACAAAATAATGAAAGTATTTTTCTATTTATGTCGTGTTTTGAGAGAAATGTTAAGGTTTCATTAAATAATATTTTTTTTTTATTTAAATAAAAATATGTTTTTTTTTTTTTTATAAGTTATTTGTTCAATTAATTTAATGCAATGA